CGGCATTCCCCCCTAGCCCCGCCCCCTGCAAAGCCAGGCCTTGGGCTGGGCGGGGCTGAATTTAGGAGCAGTTCTTTTTCCCGGTCCTGGAATAAGGGGGATATTTTTAGGTTCAGGTCGGGTGTCACAGCCTTGCGACCGGATTCTGGAACAGCACCGCCTCCGCAACCGACTCAGACCCGCTATTGAGCAATTACTGTGCATTGGAGATACAAAAAACTTTTTTATTATTATTCATTTTAAAATTTTATTTATTCATTTATTTTAATTGACCAGAGAGAGAGGGAGGGAAAGTGGGAAAGCAAGCCGCCAGATCTGGGACTCGACCCATGGTCAGCCATTTGGGAATTTCCAGTGCCTTTACCACCATGCCACCTGCTGACCCCAAGATACAGTGTTTAAGGTGCTGCCTGTCCTCAAGTAACTATCAAAGAAGGGAAAACAGATTGTTCCCAAAGAGTCGCATACTTCTTTTTTTAAAAAATTTATTTTATTTAATTCTATTCATTGTGATGGTGATGATGATGATTTTGAGTTGACCAGAGAGAGAAAAGGAAAGTGAGAAAGCAAGCTGCCAGTTCCAAGACTTGAACCATGGCCAGCCATGTGGGAGTCAAGCCACCTTAACCACCAGGCCACCTGCTAGCCCCAGATCCCTAAACTTCTACTCCAAACTTTCCTCATTAGTTTACCGACTTGAAGAGATGGCCTCATTGTCATTGAGAGAAAGCAGTCACAAACTAAAAATAGTTCCTATCCAATCCCTATTAAATTGTTTACTTGAACAGGAATTCCTCTAGAAGTGACCTTCATCTTTATGCAAGTGTTAGTCAAATATATCTGGATCCCATCCCAAATTCACTGGAAAGCTTGATGTTTTCTTCTAACTCCAATGATACTTGAGGAACTTAACCTTCTCCTGGTGACTCCCACCTTTTTTGTTTGTTTTGAGAGAGATTTTTGCTATAGGTTTCTGTGCGGTCCTGGAGAGACAGAGACAGAAAGCATGAAATCACCCCCACAACCCCTGGGGGATGGCCACACTGCAACCCCTTCTCCTCCAGTCTCCTCTTTGGATTTTCAGCACACATGCACATGCACCCAGCATGAGTTTCACGTCATAGTCCCTTCTTCAGTTCTCCATCTTATTGGGACTTGGGACTTGAACATCCTGCATGTTTTTCAAGTCTCTGGGGCCAGAACTTGAACTGTAGTCAGCCATGTGGATCCAGCTCCCCTTAATCATTGGGTTGAAGGGCCGGGCCCTCCTGATGACTTTGCTTTAATTTCCTTCCTATAATGCGTTCTCCATCTCTACCTGGTGGACTCCTGAAAGTGTCTGCCACCCCACTGCTCCCCTGAACACTGCCCAAGTTCCTCATTCCCCAACGCATGGTGGGTGCAAAGCTGAGGTATGCTGCCAGTTGTACTGAGGCACTGGGGTCACGCTTGGGGTTACACTGCAGTGCAGACCAAGGGCTGCAGTCTTGGAAACCCCACTGACCTTCCCCCACCCTTCTCTCATGGCTAGTAAACCCCAATTTAATATTTCCCCAGGCCCTTTCTTTCCTTTTTTTTTTTTCTCTTTAGATTCCCTTCTTGTCTGTCAGACTCCAACTTCTGGTTCTTGACTTTACCGTATAGAATATATTCACCCCAGCCCAATCCATGTTGCTCTCTCCAAACGAGAACCAGCGAAGACGCATCTTTACTGACCATGGTTTGCTGTGATCATGGTTTGCTGTGATCATGGTTTGCTGTGGGGGTCATCGTAAGTGATGGTGTTTTGTCATCCCTTCTCATGCTTGCACACACTGTATCACGAATGAAGAAAAAGATTTTAAGAGATGAACTGGTCAGGTGCCAGCAGGTTAATGCACTGAACTCCCACATGGCCAAACTCAGTTTGAGCCCCAAACCTAGCGGCTTGCTTTCTCATTTTCCCTCTCTTTGTCTCTCTCTAGTGAGCCCACGTGCTCTATAACAATTTAATAATAATAATGATGATCATAAATAAAGTTAAATTTTTTTTAAGAAAAGGAAGAGATTAACTGGTCAAATCCTTTTTGCTTTATTCCCTGTTCTAGTCTGTCTCTGTCTATCTCTGTCTCTCTAGCAAGCACATTCACCCTATCACAAAAATCTCTCTTGGGGCCGGCAGGTGGCTTGATGGTTAAGGCGCTGGACTCCCACATGGCCAGCCACGGTTCAAGTCTTAGACCTGAAGGCTTGCTTTCCTGCTTTCCCTCTTTCTATCTCTCTGTGGTCAACTTAAAGAAATAACAATGATGATAGTAAATAAAATTAAGTAATTCTTTTTTTTTTTTTTCAGAGTTTTTTTTTTTTTAGGGCATGTGCACTCACCAGAGAAACAGTGAGAGTCAGAGAGACAGAAAGCCATTCCAGGGGAGATAGCCACCTGCAATCCCTTCTCCTCCAATCTCCTCTTGGGATCTTGGGTATGCATGTACACATGCCCAGCATGAGTTTTAAGCCACCAGGTCCAGGACTTGAACTGTAGTCGACTATGCGGGAGTCCAGTAACAAAACTGCTACATCATCTACTGGTCCCAAACTTTTTTTAAAAAAATTATTTTATTTAGCTTTATTTATTTATTTTATTTAAATTTAACCAGAGAGGGAGAGAGAAAGGAAAGAGGGAGGGAGAGTGAGAAAGAAAGCTGCCAGGTCTGGGACTCGAACTGCAGTCGACTACATGGGAGTCCAGCACCCCCAACCATCACCCCAGTCCCAAACTTTTTTTTTTTTTTGAGATTTTTGCTATAGTGTGCGTGCACTCACCAGAGAGTAAGGGAGACAGAAAGCAAGAAGAAATCAGGCCACACTGCAATCCCTTCTCCTTTCTTCTCTCAGGATTTTGGGCCCGCACGCACATGTGCTCAGCACATTTTAAGACAACCAGGTCCAGGACATGAACCTCAGTCAACTACATGGAAGTCCAGTGACACAACCATTTTGTCATCTGCTGGTCCTAAAATAAAATAATTCCTTTTTTTTTTTTAAGATTTTTTTTAAGGATTATTTTATTTTAACTTTATTTATTTCATTACTTATTGTAATTTGACCAGAGAGGGACAGACAGAGAGGGAAAGTGAGAAAGCAAGCCATCAGGTCCAGGACTCAAACTGTGGCCAGCCTTATGGGAGTCCAACAGCTTAACCACCACACCACCTATTGGCCCCCTGAAATAAAGTAATTATTAAAAAAAAAAAAAAGAAAGAAAGAAAGAAAGAAACCTCTCTCCAAAATAAATAAAAGATGGATTGCCGTGCAATAACTTGAGGCAATGGGATCATGACCTGGGCAACATAGCAAGATTATGGTCTCCAAAAAAAAGTAAAGAAACCAAGGGCAAATCTATGATAATGGCACTGATAGATACTAGTAAAGTCAAAACGGAGCAAACCAGAATTTTAGCCAAAACCCAGCAACATATTTTGAGCCAGATACTGGGCACATAGTTGAACTAGTTATAAGAACTCCCACCTAATTGTGCTGAGAATAATGGCATTCTCCTTGGAATAACATCCTGGGAAAAATTCCTATTACTTTTTTTTTTTAACTTTATTTATTTATTTTAATTTGACCAGAGAGGGACAGAGTGTGAGAATGAGAGAGAGGGGAAGTGAGAAGGCAAGTTGCCAGGTCCAGGACTCAAACCATCGTTGGCCACGTGGGAGTCTAGTGTCCTTAACCACCACGCCACTTGCCAGCCCCAGAAATCTCTATTACTTTTAACATTTGACCTTACAACTGTACTTGGATACATATGCGAATGTTAGCTAAATGTTGTTAAAGGAAGTAAATTTAATTTTTTTAAGAAAAGAAAAGAACAACAATGAAAAAATACCAGGACCAGCAGGTGGCATAGTAGTTCAGGCACTGGCTTCTCACATGGCTGACTATGGTTCGAATCCAGGACGGGAGCTTGAAAATCACTCAAGGCACGTGTGCATGCCCAAAATCCCAGAAAGATAATGGAGGACAAGGAATCGTGGCACGACCATCCCCGCTGGGAGATAATTTCAATTTTTAACTTTTCCTCTCTCTGTCTCTCTGTTTCTCTCTGGCGAGCACATATGATCTATAGAAAAACAAAAACAAACAAACAAATAAACAAAAAACAAGTAATTGAAACAAGAACTGGAAGAACAAGAAGAGTTTTAGGAAAAGCAATGGAGAATTTGCAAATAATTGAGGGCCAACAG